GCTGATCTTGCAAAATTTAGTGTCTGCTTCAGTTGAAGAACTAGCATTTGTGATTTTGTGTCTAAGGGTGGGGGTTTCGGTGTAATTCAGGTTTGCAAAACAATACCTGATGTCCTAATAAAGTTTGTCTCTTGGTACAATTAGTTAGAATAATCAAAAACAATGCCTGAAATGTGTAGCCCTTAGGTTAAGTCTTGTATAGTTCATATTAAACCAAAACCAAAACCAAGGATTTCACTACTGTTGCCTTCTCGACCAATGTGAAAGTTTGAAGAGGATTTATATGTGCACTACGACGTAAGACGATTATCACTTATTTTCCTGAAATTCTCTGCCACCTTTTCTACTGTTAGTCCTCTTGCATGATCTGAGCTTATTATCACATCAATTGATGAACAATGATATGAGAATCATCATACATGAGAGCATTGAGGCTGCCCTGTTTTCAATTTCTGATGAGCAATTTATAATCGATTCTTCTTTTAGGATCTGTCCCTGTGGTAGTTGGAGCTCCAAATATAGAAGAATTTGCACCTTCTCCTGACTCGTTCCTTCACATTAAGCAGATGACTGATGTTGAGCCAGTTGCAAAGAGAATGAAATACCTTGCAGATAATCCCGACGCCTATAATCAGACGCTAAGGTATGGTAATATGTAAAACATTTGCCGGATTGAAAAAGGAAAAATGAAAACGTTTAGACATATTGAAAAGCTTCAAATCTCTGTTCTTTGATCAGATGGAAACAAGAAGGCCCTTCAGATTCTTTCAAGGCACTTGTTGATATGGCTGCTGTACACTCTTCTTGTCGTCTCTGCATTTTCGTGGCTACAAGGATCCGAGAGCAAGAAGAGAAGAGTCCTGAGCTCAAAAATCGACCCTGCAAATGCACCAGAGGCTCAGAGACAGTCTATCATTTGTATGTCAGAGAAAGAGGCCGGTTTGATATGGAATCCATCTTTTTGAAGTAAGCCAGCATTATCTTAATTTTGCTTGTTCAATTTCTTAATCGAAACCGGGTGTTTTGTTCATTACTTGTCTCTTCTCGTTACGGTGCGATAGGGATGGGAATCTGACTCTGGAAGCTCTGAAATCTGCGGTTCTCGCGAAGTTCAAGTCTTTGAGACATGAACCGATATGGAAGAAGGAAAGACCCGCGAGCTTAAGAGGAGACAGTGCACTTAGAGTACACGGGATATACCCGCTTGGTCTGACTCAAAGACAAGCTCTTTACAACTTCAAGTTCGAAGGAAACTCAAGTCTCAGTACTCACATACAGAGAAACCCTTGTGCTAAATTTGAGGTTGTGTTCGTCTAAATTTTATATTCACTCCAAAGTGTATTTTTGTGATATCCATTTTGAATTGCTTAGGCAAAATAGAGTGTGTACATATGAAAATAAAACAATTTTTTTTTATTTGTCTTATTGGTTTCAATAAGAGTGGTTTGACATGACACACACAATGACACAAACATCTTCAACTCAGCTTTTAACAAGATTTGCAGTTTTTGCATGGATCTTGTATTTCTTTGACATGTTTTCTGATTTTAACACAATTTAAAATAAAAAAAAATAAATCTTGAATAATCGGTTACATGTCATGATGATATGGAATGTAAGTGGGAAAATATACAAATGAGATTTTCTTTTTACATATCGACAGAGAATCCACTGTCTGATTTGCCTCGAGCATGATCTTTGACTATGAAGTCTTTTAGGATGCTGCTCCATCATCTTTTGATTTGTCTCATCCTATTATCTCATTTACACGAACTTCATGTTAGATATTGTATCTTGTTTTACAAATTAATCGACTTGAATGGAGAATTACGTGTGGAAAAATTAAGCATTCGTCAATCTACCTTTAAGTTTATAAGAACAAACTTAATGAAAATTTGTAGTAGTTTAATTTGTTGGTAAACTAATCTAACGGAATGACAAGTAAATATTCTCGGTGATATAAGTTATTGGATTATTACGTTTGAAAATATTTTTGACTAAATAACACATAACTATCACAAGCTTTTCAAACTAATACAACTATCGAAGCTAAATATTTGATTGTGATCTTGCTAGGGATAAGCAAAATTATAAGAATTCTTTTTAAATCTAAAAATACCACAAAAGTATTTTATAAACATGTTCTGGATAGTTTTGTAACCCTTCCTACAACCGATTTATGATCACTTCTTAAAAGTTTAATAACTTTTCAAACTTTTTCTGGTATTTCTAGTTGTTTTCATTTTTGTTTTAAAATGTGGTATTTTTAGAAGATTTCAGCTTGTAATTTTCCAAGTACGTAGAAAGACGTCGGTATATGACATTTTTATAGATAAGATAGAAACATATATATTTTATTCCTTTTTATTATAATTTACGTTTACATCTGAAATTTATTTTTCTGATTCGATTTTAGCTGTAGTGAATACATGTTATGAGACAGTTCGTAAAGAGATAATGAACTAGACATGAGTGGAGTAGAGCGAAGAGAGTAACAAAATTGGCAATGATTTTGGATTCA